CAGACCAAAGGCTAGGCATTGATAGCTGCAACTTCAGCCACCCTATCTAGAGCTATAAGGTAGGTACTCTTTGAAACAAGTCAACAATCCTCATTCAATGGTGCTCCAGCTTTTCCAGCACCTTGCTAGACCTCCTAGAACCCATAACACACCTTAGAGGCCCGAGGGATTAGGTAGGGAACCAATACATGTGAAATGCACCTTGAAAAACGCATGGAAAAACGACACAGCATGTCTGGCGACCGATCGCACGTTCCTGGCGACCGGTCGCATTGCAATCTGTCTGAAAGCGACCGATCGCTTGCACCTTGCGACCGGTCGCTGGTCACGATTTCCAGCTTCTCCTCCAGACTTCGAATCTGCTTCAAAACGACCGGTCGCAAATACCCAGCGACCGGTCGCTTCCTCCTTCACTTGCATACTTAATGTGAGCCATTTTTCCAACAGGGAGGCTGACTCGGACGCCCAGAAACTTCGTTTGTTTGTTCACTCCCTAACCGGTGCTGCGTTCTCTTGGTTTATGAACCTTTTACCGAATTCGGTGAGGGACTGGGCTGACACGGAGAGGATATTCCATGAACACTTTTACCAGACTAATCAAGAGATAACCGTTGCCGAGCTGGCAAGGATGAGCCAGGCATCAGATGAGACGCCCCGTGATTACCTACAACGGTTTAAAACATGCAGGAATTGGTGTCGGATTAACCTACCAAAAAGGGAGTTCGTCCAAATGGCTGAAGAAGGACTAGAATTTGAGTACCGAAAGAAGTTCCAAGGGATCGAGTTCCGGGACATGCACGACCTAACCAACAAAGTGGATAGGTACGCTTCCCTGTTGAAAGAAGAGATGCAGAAGAAAACGGCTACAAAAGGGACTTATTACAAGAATCCCGTCATCGGCTACGCCGAGGCAGATAGTCTCGCCAAGGCCGAGAACGGTGAAATTGAGGTGAGCTCGGCTGAGGTCAGCATAGACAAGCCGTTTGTCTGCAAAGAACTTGTCAAGGCCGACAACAGCCGAACAAAGATTCCCCACGCCAAGTTTGCGACCCGAGAAACGAAGGCTTACACCTTCGATTTAACAAGGGCTGAGGCTATTTTCGATCTGTTATTGGCCGAAAAGAAGGTCAAATTGTCCTTTGGTCATAAAATTCCAAAGGCTGAGGAACTCAAAGGGAAGACGTTTTGCAAATACCATAGCTCTTGGTCCCATGGCACCAACAACTGTGTTGTTCTACGGGACGTTATCCAGAAACTGATAGACGAAAAGAAACTCCAGTTCACATAGAAGGCTGCCATGAAGGTTGACACCGAGCCGTTTCTTCCACCTGTCATCAACATGGTCAATGCCCAATTTCGGGCTGAATATAGGGAAGTTCATTGGCCTACTAAGGCCATGGTAGGAAGCTTGACGTCAACACCAAAGCCGGCGAGAGGAAAGGAGCTGTTGCCCAAACCAGAGCTGGTGTTTTGCGATCGATGCAAGAATGAGATCGGCCAACCTAGGTTACAGGAGAAAAATTTGCCGACCAATACGGTCATCGGCTGGGTGGCAAGGGTGTTTTTGATCGGTTAGGGGCACAGATTCCCAGTGTCCTGTACAGCCAAGAGGAGAAGGTCGCCCCACCGGTGGTGCAAGACGATCATTGGTACCACACGCGGCCTGGGGGCAGGGCCGAGCCATTGACAAAAACCTGGATAAGGAGAATGCAGAGGCAAGTTCAGCAGGCCAGAGCACAGTCGGACCAGGTCGAAGGCCCTAAACACCAGAAGAAGATGACATTTGCAGACGAGCGACCACCCGTACCAGCCGACCTCTCTACGACGAAAGGGGCCGGCACCAGGCTCCAAAAGCGTGGCGTCCTCGGCGAGATGGGAACCCCCATGAAGCAGCAGCCGTGTCTACAGAGCCAAAGGCTGTGACCCCAGAGAAATCTGATGAGGGTGTCATCGATGTCTACCGCGAGAGAGATCCCTCGTTCTCGACCAACGGTTTGTCCTTCTTCCTGGAGTTCCATAAAGATTGCTTGGTTACTGACATATACGACATGGTGCCTGAGAACCAAGAAATTGTGGAGTTGGCCCTTAAGAACGTCAAAGCAGAGGGACTCCTCATTACCAAGGGTTTCGACCCGGCCATTAAAGCCGTATACTAGGTACACCGAGAGGCTAGGGCCAAAGGAACGGCAACCTACCAACCCGACTCGGAGAGATTGGAGACCAAGGCCCCTTTAAACAATGATGATTTAGGTTACCTTCGACAATACTTTATCGTAACCCTAGCCGACGCCATCTTTGGTTTGACGGCCGAGGAGAATGTTCGGGTCGGCCGATTAGACAAATACCTCACAGCTAGAGATGTGTTGACCAGGGCCAGATGGATCCTTGAAGGAAAGTCTAGGTTCCAAACACCTCTGCAATCGGAGCCTCCACGAATGAGATCGATGAGCCCACGGAGCCTGTGATCAGCGGTTTCAGTGAGCCCTTTCTTGAGAACGAAACCGAAGGTGAACCCGCGTCGGGATCGTCGGATGAAGAATGCGGGGGAACTTTCTGGATGACCGAGGATAGGAGTTTAGCTAGGGATGGCCACACGACTGAAGGTGAAGTTGGCGAAGGAAACCCGCGGGAGCCGAGTGAAGTGAATATAAACATGGTCTTGGTGTTACCGGTCGAGTTTTCAGCCCCAGGGGGTCAAAGCGGTAGCCTGGACAATGATGTGTTTGAGGAGCAGCCTGATTAGAGATCGAAGACAAAGGAGGAGTTGCTAGCCATAGCCTTTAACGAGATTATACCCAGGAACGAGCCGAACAAGTACCGGCACCTAAAGCCGTTATACATCTCGGCCCACATAGAGGGAATACCCGTGTCTAAAGTCTTCGTTGACTGTGATGCAACGGTCAATATTCTCCCATATTCCCTGATGAAGCTGGACAAAGCAAAGGAAGACCTCATCCCTAGAGACGTGGTCATGAGCAGTTTCATCGGCGATAAATCCAAAACCATTGGGGTATTGCCATTAAAGATCACCGTGGCTGATTAAACGAGATCGCGACCTTTAATGTAGTCGAATCCAGTGTGGACTACAATATACTGTTTGGCCGTGACTGGATTCATTAGTCCGGGTGCATACCGTCCTCCCTTTTCCAATTGTTGTTCTTTTGGGACGTTCAGAAAATGTCCATGCACCCGACCGATGAAAGGCCGTTCGAAGCCAACGCCATACAAGCGCGGATTTACGACGACGACGTCGGTGGGGTCGTCCTCACCGGCCACGATGGGAGTGGCCGACCAACCAGGACGATGGCCCAGAAAGTCCTGGGCTTAGGCGCCGAAAATGTCCGACAGGACTCGGCACGCGAAGTGTTGATCGACCTTACCAGCCTTTAAGTAAATGTCAGGCAAAGCAACCAAGGAAGAAGGAGCAGCGGCTGTGACCGACTTGCTGGAAAGATTGCTGGAGCATTGGGCGGAAAAATCCTTATGGCCAAACTCATTGATCAACCTAATCGAGTTCCTCCACGAATCAGATAACGGCGACGTTTTAACCATTAGCGACTTGGAGACAGCACCTGCTGAAATGGAAGACGATCACCCTGAGGTTCAGGACCCCTTGTTAGAGATAAACGTAGGTTCGGAGGCTGAACCACGACCTCTTTTTGTAAGCCAACTTTTAAATTGGGAGTTAAAGGCTGAGGTTACCGGCCTGCTCCATGAATATAAAGACTGTTTGGCCTAGGATTATCACGAGATGCCTGGATTGCCGAGGAGTTTGGTTGAGCATGAATTAAAATTAAGGAGGGTTTTAAACCTTTTCAACAGCCGCCGAGGCGATTCTCGACTGACGTACAACTTAAAGATAAAGAAGAAATTGAACGGCTCCTTAAGGCCGGATTTATCCGTACGGCTCGGTAAATTGAATGGTTGGCTAACATCGTACCGGTTTTAAAGAAGACCGAGGCCTTGAGGGTTTGCACCGATTACAGAAACTTAAATCTTGCAACTCCTAAAGATGAATATCCCATGCATATGGCCGACCTCCTAGTTGACGGGTCGCAAAGCACGAGCTCCTTTCCTTCATGGATGGCCACGCTGGTTACACAAATCTTCATTGCTGAGGATGATATCCACAAGAAGGCTTTTAGATGTCCGGGAGCTATCGGAACCTACGAATGGGTGGTCATGCCGTTCGGCCTAAAGAACGCCGGCGCAACATACCAACGGGCTATGAACCTTATCTTTCATGACCTTATTGGCCGAACCGTTGAAGTTTATATCGACGACGTGGTCATCAAATCCACATCCAAGGCTGACCACGTAAGACATCTTCGTCAGACCTTCGATTGAATGAGGGCGCACGGCCTGAAGATGAACCCTAAGAAATGCGCTTTCGGTGTCACGGCCGGAAACTTCCTCGGTTTCTTGGTCCATCAATGAGGGATTGAGGTGGATAAAAATAAAGCCAAGGCCATCATGGCGGCACCCCCGCCAAGAACCAAGAAGGAGCTCCAGTCTTTCCTTGAGAAAGTTAACTTTTTTAGGCGTTTCATATCCAACTTGGCAGGCAAGATCCGGCCATTGACTCCTCTGCTCAAATTGAGGGACATGGAGCGATTCGTCTGGGGGGCCGAGCACCAGACGGCCTTCGACGAGATCAAAAGATACTTATCCCAACCACCGGTCCTCATGCCGCAAAGAAGAGGGAAACCTCTAAGACTCTACATTTCGGCTTTGGAGGGCTCCATCGGGTGTCTACTTGCTCAGAACAACGAGTCTGAGCGTGAACAAGCCGTACATTATCTTAGCCACACCCTTAGCACGGCCGAGCTAAACTATTCACCCATCGAGAAGTTGTGCCTAGCGCTCTATTTCGCGGCTACCAAGTTGCGTCATTACATGCTTCCTTCGGTCATTCAGATTATTTCCAAGACCGATCTCATCAAAACATGCTCAACGGGCCGATCATTCGCGGCCGAATTGGAAAATAGACGATGGCATTGTCAGAGTTCACCTTTCAGTATGTGGCTCAGAAGTCAGTTAAGGATCAGGCATTCGCCGATTTTTTGGTTTATCATCTGACTTAAGGAGAGGAGGAGGAGATGGAAGCCGAGATCGGCGTGTCCCACATGGAAAAGAACTACTGAACCATGTACTTCGACGGCTCAAGTACCGAGACCATATTTGGGGCCGGAGTCGTGATCAAATCCCCTCAAGGGCAAAGGTGGCAGTTTGCGTTCCAGCTTGATTTCAAATGCACTAATCATCAGGCCGAGTATGAGGCACTCATCATCGGCCTTGAAATTCTGAAGGAAATGAAGGCTACTCACGTTTTGATCTACGACGATTCTCAACAGGTGATCAACCAGCTGACTGGGGAATATCAATGCACGAGCGAGAATCTAACCACGTATTACGTGATGGCCCTCAACACGGCCGACGAGTTTCCTAGGATTTCTTTTGTCCACGTGCCGCGTGCCAAAAACCACGGGGCCAACGAGATGGCCCAGGTGGCGTCGGGTGTGAACATTCTTAAGGTCGACCACGATCGCGTGATAAAAATTGAGAGGCGCACCCTGCCGACTTTGGCCGAACGAGGAATGGAGACGCAAGTGTCCTCGGCCGAAATCACCAACGAAGTTAAAACGGCCGAGGTAGACTGGTGATACCCTATAGTCAAGTATCTGCGTGATCCCTCTGGCAACCATGAAAAGACTAAGCACTTTCGGGCTCGGTGTTATTTGATTTACCAAAACGAGCTGTATCGAAAGGGATCAGACAACCTATTGCTCCTATGTCCCAGTGCCGAGCACATTCAGGTAATCATGATCGAGTCTCATGAAGGGATTTGCGGCGCTCATCAGTTCGGCATCAAGATGAGATGGTTGGTTCGAAGGCACGGTTACTGTTGGCCGACCATTTTAAAAGACTGCATAGAGTATCCAAGAGGATGCATTAAGTATCAAATCTACGGTCCCATACAAAGGGTACCGGCCGAAGCCCTCCACCCAATTACCAAACCATGGCCGTTCAGAGGGTGGGCAGTGGATATCATTGGCAAAATCTATCCAGCTGCGTCCAACCAGCAAGCATGGATTCTGGTGGCAACTGACTATTTTACTAAGTGGGTCGAAGCAAAGTCCTATCGGTCAATTTCTAGCGCACAGGTAGTCAAATTCTTTGAAAACCACATTGTCCACAGATTCGGTATACCTGAAACTATCACGGCCGATAACAGCCCGGTCTTCACTTCGGCAGAAACCTAGGAGTACGCCGAGAGGGTGGGGATCA